ATATGAGTCTTTGATTTGGTTAAGAGCCTTTTCTAAATTTTTATCCGCAACAGCTTTCGTGTCTTTTAACCGTTCGAGTATTTGATTAAAGACAGGATTAACCTGTTCTTCGGTGAGAAAAGTTGTCTGTCTAAGCTTTTCAATTTGACCAGCGATTTGCTGAGTGTACTCGTCGAATTTTTCAGGGACCAATTCTTTCACATCATAGTCGTCTATAATGACGTAATCAATCAATAACGATATATATAATATGTATAATATAAATTAGGGAAGTAGGTTTGTGCCGCAGTAAAACAATCAATAAACGAATTATTATTCATCACCTTTAAGGGATACAATATATTGATTTACAAAATCTTCCATAGCTTCTTTAGTTGACTTTGATACCTCAGTCTTATGAGTATTGACTAAATTGACCAACTCTTGCCTTTCTGGAATGCCTTTGTATTCTATGCGACGCTCTGATAACCATTCATTAATTTCAGTTGAACTCCAAGTGTTAGGATCATTTCGGTCTTAAAATTTAATAGAATGTATGAAAAAAAAAAATCGATATTAATATATCAATATTACTAATTATTATTATTATTATTAATTTCAAATTACCATATGGCTTCATGGTAGCTATAAAGGTAGGTATCACAAACAATATTAACAAGAAATTTAAAAATATTTTACGCGAAACAAACATTATGATTTTTTTTTTGTTGACTTTTGTTTTTTTTTGATACTCAAGCTTTGAAAGATGGACGGATTTTTAGAAGAACGGGTTTTTAGAAATCAATGGTAAGCTCAAACGGCCTCCTTTTATGAGAAAAGAGAGCGAATTTCTTGTGAGCTAAGTATGATGTAATTATTGGCTAACGCAATTCATAGTAGTCATCTAGTAGTCATTATTTCTCACTTGCCAATAGACATTTAATCCTTAAAATTCATGATACCACATTGACGCAATTGTTATTATTTCGTGTAGATCCAAAGTTAAAGTTATACATTTGGGGTTACTTTATTACTTTTGACGTACTATATACGTACGTACGTACATACGTCCGGCAATATTCACCAATAATAGAGTCAGCTCTCAATATGTTGATACATACGACATAACTATACTTTGCACACTGCGGCTGTGAAACTCATCATGTGACCAGCACCTTTGGGCCATCTCTACAGCAAAATTCAAACGGCGGGTGATAGAGTCACGTGACTCGTGATCATAAAAAGTTTGTACAATTTTCACACTTAGAGAATTAGCCACCTAAAGTGTTATTATTAATAATATTATATACCATTATAAAAAATCACCAATACGTAGAAATGGGTTTATCTCAATAATAATTGAATAATAAATTAATAATAATAATAATTCAATATTAACAAAATTCATTAATTTTAATCATGTTAAGTATGAAGGACGATCTATTAAAAAAAAACTTATATAATATCTAATGATTATTAAATCTATAATCTATAATATCTAATATCTAATAAACTAAGTATATATTAGTAAATAACAAGCTATAAGCCATTGCGCAATGATCCATAGCGATAGTAACGTCATATTGATTGATCCTACTACAGTTTAATATCGATATGAAAAATAAAAAACTTTTTAGATATCTTTTTTAGGATTTATTCTTTTTCCTCATTCGCTTCTCCATTTAAATTTATTTTCCTCTTTATCGTAACATTAGTCACTTTTTTTGGTTCTGCAAAAAAAAAAAAAAAAATGGACGTGTTAATTTCATTGATACCATCACTGTCAAATACAAGTGACAATGAAGTTGAAGACAATGATTCGATTAGTTCAGAAAATGCTAATAATGGAGATATCATCCAAAGTAAAGGCGAAAAAAAATGGTGGTTACATTGATAATTGCCGTACCGAAAACATTTTAAGGAATTTTAATCTTGTAGAAAAAAATAAAATGAAGAGATTAAATCAAGATTCAGATGATAGGGATGAAAATATCTATACTACGAATGATGACAACGAAAGGTCAACATATAATTTGAGAAAAAGAAAAAAACTTTTGAACACTGAAATAGATTGTAATTCGCATGATCATGAAAGTGATAATATAGATGTCTTAACGGTAAACGATATGGCACATTCAAGCGATTCAGGGATAGATTGTGACACGCAAACAATGCTGCAGTCTCCTGCTGATGATCTTTACGATAGTTCAGAGGCTACTTCAGTAAGTTCGGATAATTCGGATAATTCGAATAATTCGGATAATTCGGATGATAAGCAACAATCAAGAAATTTACACGTCAATAATAACGACAATGTGGACAATGTGGACAATGTGGACAATTTGGATAATGATGAATCGAATAATTCCATCTCTAATATGATTTCTGGTGCGGCCATTGATGTTACTGGCAAAACATTACTGAAATTTGCTGGAGTTTACGTTAACAATATAAAAACGAATGAATTGAAAACAAAATTGTCGAGCATGCAGCAACTCAGAGAGGAGAAAAATCTCCATCCTATCTCCATAGGAAGACCGAAAGATTGTATTGAATGGCTTAGATCAGATGATGGAATGGCATTGTGGAAAAATAGACCAGCACGTATGATTCACGTTAAAAAGAAAAGATCACGAAAGCCCAATAGTCAAAGGTGAATTTACATTTAAAAAATCTATAAATTCTTATTTATTTAATGTTTTAAAATAATCTTTATATTTTTTAGTCGGACTAAAAATAGGAATGTTGCCATGCGTACCAGAAGCTTGTCACGTTCACGTTCACGTACTTCCAAGCCAACGCGGCGATATACTTCCAGATCAACACGAAAATACACTTCAAAGCCAACACGACAATATAACACTAGAAGCAAAACATCTTTGAACAAAAATAAAACAATATCTAGGAACAAAACATTAAGTAAAAATAATACATCAAAGAAAAATAATGTTAAGAAGCGCACAACTCGCCCAGTTAGAGGGAAATTGGTCCCATGCCATACTGGCGGCAAATCACGCTTTATGATGAAATCTTATTTTCAACATTTCATGAAATTAAACCGGAATCAAAAATCCAGCGAATCTTCTGATTCTCATGATTCAAACGAATCAAATGATCCTTCTGATTGTTATGATTCAGATGAGTCAAATAAAGCATCTGATTTTTATGATTCAAATGGATCAATTAAAGCTTCTGATTTTCATAATTCGGATGAATCAAATGAAACTTTCGATTTTCGTGATTCAGATGAATCGAATGAAATTATTGTTCATGATCAAGATGAATCGAACGACTCTTATGGTTTTCATGACTCGGTAGGAACTGACATTTCAGGAGAGGATGAAGAATCAAAAGAAGCTTTCACTTATCCGGGACTCGTAAAGAGAAATAAGAATCCGAAACAAAAAAAGCACATTGACACTATTGATATTTGGAATGCAAGAAAAGATGACGAGAGACAATTTAAAGAAACAAATTATTGGGAATTGCCATTGTTGGGTTCTAGTCCTATTCAAGAATGTACGCAAAGTGCATATGTTCAATTTTACGGTAAGAGAATTTTTTAATCAATTAATAACAATAACTTTTCAACGAGATTGTTAAACTTAGATTGATTTTTGTAATCACATAGAATCTTCCACGCCGTCGACTGATGCTAATACTGAAGAATCATACTTTAATTTTAAATCCGATTTTAACTGGAACAAAAATAAAATTGTAAAGAAAGCTGAGAAAATTGCTGCTGACAGTTCAGATGATTCAAATGATCTCTCCACTGAGGACGAAGAAGAAACCGTTGTGATGTCAAGTGACGGCTGGTCAATGAGCCAGACATCAATTGAGACACATAATATGGAGTTTAAACAACAATGTCCGGTAAAAGGTAAATTGAATCAAGATTTAATTTTATCAGAACCGTCTCGATACACGAATTGACCAAGATGATGATCCACAACCATATTCAGGGATTTTTAAAAGTTTAAACTTATCAACACCTACACACGAACTTGCGGATGATGCTTTATTTGATCAGACGCTATTCTCGGGTGCTGATTTAAATATGTGCTCTCGACCAACGACTCCCACCTCTGAAGTTAACATGTCTCTTGAAGAATGCATCGCATATTCACGTGAATTAACTCCATTTGTAAATGATAACGCATACAATAACATTGATCAATCTTCTGAAATAGACTTTGATGAAGATGATTTACAAGAGAAGACTAAGGATGAGAGCTTGGCCGATTATTTACAAGATTTTAGTGGTAACTATAATGGATGGTATACACCCATATGGGAGGTAGAGGATCCGATTACGGACTTGTTTCGACCTTTATTAGATGAGCCATGTGTCACTTAGTTTTTGTTTTAAATAGAAATGAAAAGCATTCTTTTTTTTTTTTTTTTTTTACAGCTTTCCTCATTAAATTTTTTGTATATTATTCATCTTTTCTTTTATTTTGTACTTTTGCAAGTATTAACATTGTATTGCAAATTTAATAATTATAAATTTAAATGCAAATGCAATAAATCATATATATAATAAATATTAATGCTAGCGCATTTATTTATCTTTCGGACGAGTGATTCGCTAATTGTAAAAACTGGCTAGTTCAAAAATACCCAACGTTATCCCATCTTTTACTCTTCTTGTTTTTTCATTTCTTGCTTTATCTTTTAGATTGACCGCAGTGCGGTTTCTTAATGGTCCATGGGGTTTCCCGTATTTTTTTAGAATGTCCTCCCATCTAGTTCCAAATTCCTCCATTCCGCGTTCAAGATAGTACAATTCAAGATCCGTCCATCTTTGACGTTTTTGCCCACCGATTGACGTAGTCCTTACTAATCCACATTCAAATGCGTTACGGAGATTTTCATCATGTGTGCTTGATGTGTTTTTATTTGTGTCAGTGGTAATGGCGGTATTCGAAGGTTCTATATTATCTGGCTTGAGCGGAGGTTGCTTAATTTCCTGCGGTTTTGGATTTAATCCATTACTGGGTTGCAAAGGAGGTCTGATTATTTCTTTAAGATTGATTACTCCTTGAAGAAGTTCGTCGTCAGAATCGTCAGAATCGTCAGAATCCCCTGGTAGAAAAAATTTCTTATGAAATGAAAAGGTATAAGTTTAAATACAGATATATTCCATGCATAGTATTATAGAATGGTAAATGGTTTTTTTCTTTTTTTTAGGAACCAAAAATTGAAACTTGCTTTAACAAAATCTTCAGTAGTGTTACTCATATTCTTTTAATCTAAAATATATGTTGTTAACTAACAAACGTTAGATTAAATTCATGAACTGATCGATCGTTATTGTTTATTTGTTTACATCTGTACATACAATCTACATATATATATATACAATCTACACATATATATATATATATATATATATATATAATGTAGCCAGTTCTAACTATGCATTACTGTTACACAGTTTAATATTAAAATTCAATATGGGAACTAAAGATGTTAATGAATTCAATTCACCAAATTTCATAGTTTTGATCGTACCATGTATGTATGTTACATTAAAGCATGATTCACTATTGATCAATTATCGTGTACAGTATTAATAAAATTATGGCGGTGTAATTAAAGTTGTTAATGGTAACTTACCATGGTCCACTACCAGTAAGTTATCAATGGCCTAGCGAAACTTGCCGGTAATTTGCAAAATGGTAAAAATTGGAACGTGTTTTTATTATCACGTGAGTATAAATTTGTTAATCAATTC